CAGAATATTCAGATCACTTTATCTTCCTTGTGAAACTGCCCATAGGAAACATGTATCATGGTGTAAGTTACACAACTCATCGTTGGTGTGAACATTTAAATACTAGTCACACAAAACCTGTAGAGCATTCTACACTACAAATACACTACTTAGTCCATCAGCTAACCTATGATACAGGTTTGATACAAAGATATTTCCAAAGGCAAGTATCAGTTTTCTCAATCAGTCCTCAAAAACATACTAGAAAGCAATACATGTCCATTTCAAATGTAGGATAGAACCCAGATTGCCATGTAAAGTTTTTACTTTCTTAGTACTTTGACTTATTTAGGTTGTTATTCAAATGCTATCACAACACAATGGTATGCTTCTGACATTAAAGAGCAGAAAGTATTGAATAATCTTTCATTAGCATCATAAGAAAGCAATTTGTAAATGGAGTACACACAGCATGCATACATCAACATCTAACACACTTTCCAGCTCAATTAGAAACACAGCAACTGCTCACAACACGCAGGGTCTAGACCCTGCAATAAAAGCATATTAGCAAGGGAAGTACATAAGATTGACTAACAACTTGCTGCAAAAATGGTCAAACTCAACAGCTGCGCTTAGAAGCAGCCTCCATCTATGAAAACAAAAAGTGCAGGCTGAAACATACCATCTTGCTTGAAATGTTCTGCATTTCTGAAGCCTTGTAGCCAAAATTAACTGCTATATACAACGGAGCAGCTTGTGTTTGGCTTCTCAGTCATCACAGAAAATGCACCTCCTTCTGTGGCTACTGGAAGAGTTTAATAAGGTGCCTACACTGTCAACTCAAGAAAAATGCAGCCGGACAGCCTCATGGCCCAGCGACCAGTTTGAGACATCTCTGCCTACCAGAGCTAAGCTTACAGATGAGCAACGAGCCATTCTAACCAAGATCATCTCACTTGGAGCCAGCACCATCGCCAAGCCATAGCGCTGACAAAATATTGCTGAAGCCACATTGTACGAACAACTACCTGGAAGCAAATTGTGTCACTGAGAACTGCTTCCAGCCAAGGAAGACAGGAGCACAAGTATGCCTGACACAGCTAGTCACAGGACAAAGCATAGAGAGCACATGCAGTATGCATGTGCTTGCCACTGAACCCTGCAGCCACAGGTGCAGAAGTATCAACACCTCAGGTAAGCACCTCTGTTGCTGGATTTCCAAAGCAGAGTTGAAAAGCCAGAAAAGAGGTTACTTGGAGTGGTTTCCCTTGTGGTTTCACTCTATTCAGCAAGTAGGTGGAGACTTCAGACACTGTCTTCAGAATCAAGTAGATCGGTGCAGGGTGCGTTTTGTTTCTCCATTCCAGGAGCAGATTTGCACAGTACTATTTTAACTCTATCTGGATGGTGGTTCTCAATGAGCACTGTTATTGTAGCTTCCAGTAATACCTCATTTTCCAAAAGCAATATATTATACAAACTCTTATACAAAAGCTTGAAGGGAAAGGGATGAAAGGTCTTCCACAACTACAATGTGCAAATGAAGGCAAGCACCTTTGCAATTCAAATCCAGCCACTATACAGAGATACCTGAACTTCACTCAAAGTCATTTCCAGAAATAAATACATAAATTAACTGGGCTAAACTCTGACCAAATTAACACAGTTACAGAGTAATTCTGGACCAGGAGTAACCTGCAATTCAGAGAGTTACTTCTGATTTACATCACTAGCTCCCACAATATGCAGAGCAGTTATGTTCAGATCTGACATAACCACTTTTTTCCCTGGCATTTTTCTCCATTCTTAATGAATCCTGAATGCTTCAGTATGACTACTGAAGCACAGATACAGGTTGAGGGTTATTTCATGGACTGAGAGGTATGCAGAGACTATCCTCTTCAACCAATAAAATCCATAAACAAGTGTTAACTATTTTCCCTTAATTATAAAAGGGCAGATATAACACTCTTCTGCTCACTGGGGCACAGACTGAATTGCATTGCATTTCTACTAGCTTAAGTCTATCTTACTACAGTCACCTTAACAGTGCCCCTGTTGCTGTCAAAGAAGCATGTGTGCCTGTGACTGAAAAACAGTCTTCTCACCTCACTAACAGACATAGGTAAGGCAGAGAAAACATGGGAGGAAGGTGGGGCAGGACACCATGCTAAGAGACAGGTTGCTGTGAAGTTGCCAAAATGAAGGGGAAGTTCAGCTGAGAGCTGTTTGAAGTTGCAGATGAATTATTTGAACCCAAAGCAAATGGAAAAATACTGCTCCTTACTGAGTAAGCACCTATTTCAGCACCACTCTTGCTGCACTGTTAGGTTCTCCTTCAACTACAAACTTCTGCAAAAAGTTTACTCAGTCTCAGGTTGCTCCAGGGTACTTCCAGGTAGAGGTCAACCCACTTCACCTGCTGGTGTAACTAATTTTCACCAATTGCTTTCAACCCAGACCAATCCAAACAGGACAAAAAAGTCATTACAGTAATGACTTTTAACAATGCTGCAGGTAGGTACAGGTAGGTATTCCCCTTGGAAAAAGTGAAGAGCACCTGAGGTGTACCTTGGAAGTGCAGTCCCAGCTGTAAAGAATATGCAGCCTTTGCTTTTTGCTTCAAACATAGTTAATGAAGTTACCTATTGACATGACTCAGGACCAATCCACGTAATACCATCATGAAACAACATTCCAACACTCTGAACCAGCAAGAAAGAATCCTGTATTAATTTTGTGCAATCATAATTGCACAAAATGAATCGTATATATACATATATATATACACAGTTATATACATATACACGTATATATACATATATATATTGTATATATACAACGAATTGCATAACAATTCATGCACAATAATACAATTCTGGTTGAATATAATTTAGATAAATAAAGTGGATGGTACACTGAGACATGCAAGGATTTGAAATTTGACATTTCTGTGCATCAGCATAAGTAATCAAGAGTAGTTTGAAGAGATTGCTCTGGATAGCCAACTTTTAGTTCCATATACAATGTTGTCAAGAAGTGCTCTTCATGGAGAGGTTCTTTGTTACAGTCAAGATGTCTCACTATGCTGTATAAGGCTTACTACCTAGCAAAGCAATGCAAAAAAATCAACGAAGAGAACAAACAAAAAAAGCCAACAAAAACCCAAACAAACAAACAAACAAAAAAAAAACCACAAAAAAAAACCAACCTCCCCCCCAAAAAAACCCACAAAAAATACAAAAAAAAAAAATTCCCAAAACTACACTGCTTTGCCATTACTTTCATTTGTCTAATTTTCCTCAAAATATTATTTTTAATAGGAAACTGTCTGTTTAGGTACTACTAAAGCTTATATATTCAGTTTTACATTAATGCAATCAGTGTCTTCGTTCTACCTTTTGTTTTTTTTCAAGCCAGAAGGGATGTCTCCCTGCTCTTCCTTAATACCAATACAAAACAAGTAAATCTCATTTCTGTGTGTACACGCATGCGAGTCTCACAGGAAAGAAGGCACATGCAATGCTATGGAGTACAAACCATTTTATTTTACTTGTTCCTTTAAAACTATGTTTAAAAAGAAAGAGAATAATTTTTTTCTCTCTAAAACTGTGCTATGTAATAAAACAGTTTTAGCATATAGGTTCAATTTAGTTTTCATGAACAAAGATTAAATAGCAAACATAGCACAGAAGCCTCTATCACTGTCATGGGCAGACATTTTTCTCACCAATAAAAGCTTTGTTACACGATATGCAATTTCTTACCCGTAATTTGAATTTTTAGAACAATATTTTGTGATTATAGTGTATGAAAACACATTCATATAATTACCATCTTTATATCTACCTAATCTACAAGAGAAATGTTACTAACCTTTGTATGAACCCCATCATTAACCCCAAAACAAGGATATGAATACTCTCAACTACTAGGAACTAATGCAAAAGCTGCATTTCACATAAGATTTTTTTTTCTTAAGGATATCTCACTTAAACAAAAATCAAGACATTTTAGATGAGGAAATACCAAAATTTAAAGTGTATGCAATTATTTTGCACATTGTTAATTTAGCTTGGTTTAGTGACACCAGTAAATACTAAGGATTATAAATTATTTGAAACAGCTTATGAAGTAGCATTCAAACTGTACATGAACAAAACTTTGAAAAACTGAAAGAAATCAATCCCAAATCCCAAATCAATCCCAAAGTTTACATTGCATGTCCTTACTGAAACAACTGTATTTAGCACTTATGAAAACCTAGAAAACACTCAACAGAGGAAGTCATCCTGGTTTTGAAATATATTTCTCCTAAACTTTCTTCATCTATTGCTAGCACATGTAACTTGGAAAGGGTACATGGCACTGTACTTCATCTTCTGAACACCAAAAATCAGTATGACCTTGATTTCCCTTATCAGCATAACTGTATTGTAGTAATTTCTATACCAACAACTTGGCAGTGACACAAGCTGAGGTGGCCAAGCAGTGAAGGTGTACAACCTGTAATCAGCATATCTTGTAGGAGCTGAGTGTTGTCACCAACTAGAGTCTTGTCAAACCATGACACCTGGACAGAATTTTATAATGTAACTATAAGGCAATATTGTAGTATACATTTTTATATTATACTTTAAGTGGCAGGACTTGAATTTTCATAAATTTTTAAAACCCCTCAACAAAATATCAAGTATTATTTTCAGAAACTAATACAGCTGAAATTTTCAGCAACTAATCAAATATGAATGTCAGACTGTGTGATTTGCGGAAATCACTTTTAATTCAAATTGACAACTCCTTCAATTGCAAGTGTCAAAATTACTTTCCCTTTCTATAAATGCTAAATCTCAAATTTCAATGACAGCATGAAGACCAGAAAATTTTCAAGTTTCATACATTATATGTACTCTTATATGATTTTGTTAGAACTGAAAAACAAACCTGGTTCAAAATACCTAGTTAAGAGTTTAATAATGAAGTTTTATGGAAGAAAAATCCAATATGCTTGTTCTTACCTTGGTAGAAAGACACTTTCTACTACATAGAAGTCTTGCATAAGAACATCTCTGTCTGGTTTTGATGTAAGATTTCCTACTGTGTATCCTATTCCCAACTGGATAGCACCTTTAATAGCTGAGGATGCAGTCTGTGTAAAAAGTAAGAATTCAAGTATGAGTTTGCTAAAAGCAGATTTCTGGTCTTTATCAATAATATTATAGCTAAATGCTTCAATCATTTTCATAATAACAACACCCTGTCATCTTCACATCCTAGACTTCAGTGAAATAACTGATTTTTAATTAAAATATTTTAAAGAATCACTATATACAAAGTAAAACTTTTCAAATTACCCAAATAATAAACATGGAGTTCTAACTCAGCACAGAATCACAGAATAGCAGGTTGGAAGGGACCTCAAAAGGTTCAACCTTTCTTGACAAAAGCATGATCTAGACAAGACAACCAAGTACCCAATCAAGCCAAATCTCAAAAATGGGAATCCACCAATTCTGGGTAGATTATTCCACTGGCTGATTGTTTTCACTGTGAAATATTTCCACTAGAGTTCAAGTAGAATATCTTCAGGAGTAACTTTAACCCATTATCCTTCATATTTTCCATGTGACCCCTTGTAAAAATAGGGCCTCTATCTTCTTTGAAACCACGCTTTAAATACTGTAACACAGTGATGTTTCCCCTCAACTGTCACTTCTCAAGGTTGAACAAACCCAACTCTCACAGTCTCTCCTCACGTGTCAGGCTTCTCAGCCCTTTGATAATTTCTGTGGCCCTTCTCTCCACCCTCTCCAGCCTGACCATATCTTTTTTTGTATAGGGGAGACCAAAACAGATAAGAGTATTCCAGGTGTGGCCTGACAAACGCTGACGAGAATGGGATAATCTCTGCTGCTAATGCCCCTGCTGATGCAGCCCAAGACCTCACTGGGCTCCTTTGCTCCATCAGCACACCCCTCACTCATACTCAGCTTTTTGCTCACTGGGACTCCCTGGTCCCTTTCCACAGATCTGCTCCCCAGCCTTGTGCTCCCAGCCTGTGCTGCACTCCTGGATTTGTTTTCCCAAGTCTCAGACTCTACACCTGTCCTTGTTAAACTTCAAAAGGCTCTTTGCCCACTCTTCCAGCCTACACAGGTTTTCCTCCAGCATGACTCTCCCTTCCGAAGTGTTCACTTGATCCCTGAGTGATTTTAAGTGCTCTGGATGAACACATATGAAGACATAAAACAGCGCTGGGCTCAACACCAATCCCTGAGGAGCCCACTTGTGCCAGGTTGCCAGCTGGAAAAGGAGCCATTTACCCCCACTCTGGGTGCTGCCTGTGGGTCAGTTCCCCACCCACTGCACGGGCAGCTTGTCCAGACTGTTACGCAACAGCTTCACCAGGAGGCTGCAGGAGACGTAGAGAAAGCCTTGGAGAAACACAGGAGACAACATCCATGGCCTGCCCCCATCAACCAAACAGCTTGCTTGCCCTAGAAAACAATCAGGTTTGTCAAGCACAATTTGCCCTTGTTGAACTCATGCTGGCATTTCCTAATCATATGCTTCATCTGACTTGTGATGGCTTCTAGGAGAATTCTTTCCATAACACTTTCCTTTGCCTTAGTATAAAGTTTCAGAGTGCAAAGACAGACCCCAAACTCCACAATATTGTGATCACTGTAGCCAAAGCCATCACTAAGTGAGATATTACAAAGCTCGTTTCCTTGGTTAGTGAGCAGCCAGTCCAGCTATGCCTCATTCCTGGTTAGCACATCTAACATTTGCATGAGGAAGCAGTCCTGTATTCATTCCAGAAATTTGATGGATGTTGTGACCTGCTGTATTGCTCTACCAAGAATGTCTGGATAGTTGAGGTCACCGAAAAGACCTACAATCTGTTATCCAAAACTGCTTAAGTGACCCTGATTAAGTGCTTCCTTGACCTTTTCTTCTTGGTTTGGAGGTCAGTAGCAGATGCCTAATCTAGATCCCCCTTGGGGATGTTCTTTCTGATCTTGATCCAGAGGCATTTGATATGGCTTCCACAGACACTGTAGTTGATCTGTACATGTTCATGATTCACTTTTAACCCAGAGTGCAACTCCTCCTCTACTTTTCTGCCTGTCTTGACAAAACCTGTAATGATCCTTTGTGATCCTGTTAAAAGTTGCAATCTAACAGGACATTCAAAATGTTTCAGGATTGTGAAGTGTGCATTATATTCTGGAAAAAAAACAGTCACAAATTCCAGGTGATTATACATGCATGCCAAAGCATGACAATGCAAGCTTATGGCTTAAATGTTGATTCTAGATGCAAATAAATATATTTATTATCTTCTGCCTAACAGTCAGTGCAAGAGGTCTATTGACTGTGCAGAGTCCTGAGAAAAAATGAAATGGGGAAAGCAAAAAAAATCTCTCTGAAAAATCTACCCTTTATAAAGTCCAAGACTAAATTCAATGGCCAGAGCTTGCAGGACAGAGAAGGCTTCAAAACAACAGCATGAAATTGTGATACTATATGCGTGTAAATTGAGACCATATCTAAAACCTTCTCATGCTGAATAGACAGTCACACTACAGCAATTTTAAAAACAGCAGAAGTGAGTCAAAATCAGAAACTAGTCAAAAAAGGAGTTTTTAAAGAAACATGGAAAGAGTGAACAAAGAAAACCATTGGTCAGGGAAAGAATGCTATAAGAAAGGGAGTATCTTCCCTTGCATGATCACCAGTTTGAAGACATGTTTGGTCCCTGTTTCTAGGCTTTACCTTCTACCTACCCAACAAGCAAGAGACTAACAGAAGAAACAAAGACCACCAGAAGTTTCATGATCAGAACCACTTCAGCACTTGAACAGAAACATTTCAGGAGTGGAAATTACATAAGAAGTGGTTCAAGTACACAAAGCTACTCTTGTTCTAGTTCTTGGAACAGCATAAACTAGAGTGGCTCTTAGTTTTAGAAAAGACAGAGATGTGTAGCTCTTAAATAATTAACACTGCATACCAAGCAGAACTTAGACTTGCATAACAGTTTAGAACCAGCAATTTGGTGGGAACAAACAACAGTCCATTCTGAAAGTACTACTTTGACTAGTAAAAAGATTTGGCTTTGGGTCATAAGAAGAGTCACATTTTTCTTTCCTTCAAAGGCTTCTATTCATGAATGATTAATGCTCAACAAAAGCTGTAATTATGTAACTTTGATCAAACCAATACACATACAAATAGTTTCTGCTTCATTGCTGGATGCCCATCATGTTCACTGCCACAGCAAGCAACTATGGCTGAAAGAACAGCAGACAGAACAGCACAACAGAGGACGTGCCATTCCAAACAAACCCTGACAAAACCCACCAAACTTTAAAAACACCCAATAGAAGTAACCTGGCAATGTGATTTCAAAAAGAAACCTCTGGATCACCTTTCAAGCTCATAAAAATATTTGTAGTAATTTTTTTTTTTCAAATTCAAAAGACCCATACACTTGTAGTCTCTGGAAGGCAGAATGTAAAACCTTCTAGGACAATGACACAGACCTTTCCTACAAGGTTACCTCCTTGTTAATTTCCACTCATATTCAAGAATGTCATTAGTAACCACCCATCATTTCTGCAGCAACCAGAGAAGTTGGCTTAGCAGAAAAGTAATTTAGGAAATAATTCAGAATACTTTAACAACAGCTTTGAAACAAATTGAGAGCTGCTACAGCATGCTGAAGGCAACTGCTAGCCCAAAGTCCACATCTTGTCAATGACTACTATAACCAAAGGCTGGTAACTCAGTATGCTTTTAGCAACTGACAAGTATTTGTTTTCAGTCCATTAAATAAAAACAGAACAAGCCTTGGAATTTGTCTTTTAAACATCACTTGTCTTAATTTTTATATTACTATTAGTAATAATAATATTATCATCATTAAATAAAAAAAAAAATAAAAAAGCTCCTTCTTAAGCCTTAGGGGAAATGTTCTCGAAATATCCATTTTATTACTACAAAAATGTATTTCTAGGAAACTGCAAATGCAACTGGAAAAACTGAAGTCCCTTTTGAATTTTTCGTTACTTGGGCACCACTTTCAATGCCCATTAAAAGACATTAAGACAGCAAAAAGCAGCAAAATCTAGTTTCAAACCTAAGCTCTTATTTTAATTTGTCTTGAATACTCTCCTGCTGCAAAGCAAACAATAAAATTCAGCAACCTTCTGCACCATGGGTTTTTTCAGTCTTTTAGAGACTGAAATAAATTTTTCTTCCCATTAGTCTTAGGAAGAGGTTCAGAAAATGGCTCTGAGATTATTTATTAACTGTAACTGTAAAACTGACAGCACACAGTGACAGTACAATGAGTCACAGATAATTTAACCTATTATCAACATTCTGAAGATCAAAAAATACTAAGGGATGATAATAACCAGCAGGATAAAAATGTTGATGAATTTTAGGTTATGAAAGTGATTGAATTTGTAGCAAATGTTGTACTCTATGACAGCCGTCTTTGTTACATAAAGGAACACAAAGTAAAACTTCTCCTGTCCTCCTTCTGCTGTTCAGGATATTACTGTCTACTGCACAGGTGCTTTGATGCTTTTATCCCTGCATAAAAAACTGAAACTGTTCTCATAATGAAACATACCTTTGCCTCTTTTTGTCAAAAGTAACTATACATTTTTTCATACCTGTCATATGGCTTTGCTAAAAGAGCCTGTAGATGAGAAAAATTATATGCATTCAAAGCATAACAGCAGTATAAAACACAGAATACAGGTACATGGAATATTTGCATCACTGATAAATATTCTAGTACTCAATACACTGTTTTCTTGAATTACTTTCTCTGCAGATTGGTCTTCCACTTGCTCTACATTACTGTAAGCTGAAATCCTTTTTTCAGAGTAGCAAAATAAATGAGAAATTAAATCCTCTTAAATCAGGTCTTAAGTTCGCACATGATCCCACAAATAAACTAGGCAGGATTCAGACATTGTTTTTCCTATAAATAATCATGTTCAGGTAGCCTTCTAAAGTGTAAATTTTTTATTTAATAAAATAAAGGTGCTACTCAGACATATATAATGCATATAAAGGCAGTTCATAACCAGATAACCATAAAAAAACCCAACAAAAAAAAATCAACTA